TCTGATCAACCTGCCTTCTGCACCACCGAACCATGTCGATGCTTCTTGACGATGTGGTCGCATATATGTTCGGAAGGTGCCCACCACATGAACCAGATCGATCCGATACTGGTCACGCCGCGTCGCTGGTCGATTCGAGGCTATCCCATCCACATCCCGTGTATCACTAGACAACCTTGCGGTTGTCATGCTTATGTTTGACTTTGGCTCCTACACGCACTACAGAATGGAAATTCAAAGAAGACCATGAATCCCCAAAGCACGGCGAATGCGCCGTAGCATCCCTTACCCAATTGCACATTGCTTATCACTTCTCTCAAGCCCACGAGTCATGTCATCCCGCTGTTTCAACTGAACAAACGACCATGACTCGCGTGCCAACTGTTTTCTTTTCTTTCCTTTCTCTTCTTCAATTCACATGCTTCCTATCCCACACACCCCCCATTCTGTTCTTCCCCTCCCCCTTTGTCCCTTCTTTCATTATTAACCTATAGATATTACTGCTGATTCGGTCCCCCTCACCAAGTGCTGGAGGGCTGGGACCAGAGTGAGCCACTTGCGACTTATTGTTCAAATTAACATGGGGCCATGCAAACTGTACCTACATAATGAGATTGATGAGAGAGAAGAGAAGTCGAAGAGAATAGGAAGAAAAAGGGGGTGGTAATGCAATGGACTGAACACACACACATCACACACAACTGGGCCCGGCGATTCGCGGTTGGGGCACCCACATTAGCGATTATAATTAGATGACTGTTAATATTCTTTTCATGAAAATTTTGATATTTACCATTTGATCTTTGATGCATTTACTCATAATCTTTTTCTTTAGTAGCGGTAGTAGTACTTATGTAGATGAAGAGATATAGTGTCAACTGCTCGATTCGATTATGGTCTATGCTGGTAGTGAACAAAGACAATTGATCTATCTATCGATGATGAAATCTAACGACAGTAGCAGTATGTATATGTATGCCAACGCATGCTCTACTACATCTTCAATTCGGAGCATAATAAAGCAAAGCAAAGTTCATATATGCCGTTGCTGTATGTATGCATCTAGTATGTATTGATGGATGAAAAAGAATGCCATGTATAATCCAGGTGAGAATCCAAAACCCGTCCCCGAAACAAAGAATAACCAAAAGCGCCGCCCAAAGAGACCATCCTGTAAGCAAATGCTATGTATGCTCGGCTAAGAATCAAGTCTTCGTCTTGGTGAAGAATATCTGAAATGAAGAACTCCAGTTCAACCGCCGCAGGTGATCGCTAACGCCAAATAAGCAGCCAATAGGAAGATATGAAAGAAAAACAAAGTCTATTCCCGGTGTATGGGGATAGGAAGCCATAAAGTCGTAAAGATAAATCATGTTCGCCTGTTGGATGCGGGTGCCTGACCTGAGTGGTGTCGGGTACCGGTATGCAGAAACCAAAAAAATAGCGACAAGTAGGGTGTAGTAATACAGAATGAAATCATAATCAAACTGTACCGTATCTCCCCCGCTCATTCTGCAGGAGAGATTGGTTCTCTTCTGAAGAGACAGGAGCATCAGAACGAAGTCGTCGCGCAGGTGACACTGAAGGGATCCAGCCCCTCATCCAACCCCGAACGCGGGTCCAACGACTACGTCCGTCTTTGGGGTCTTCAACTTGCATGATAGACTCGTCATCCCGGGTTCCGTACATGAGGAACTGCACGCCCATGAGACCGTCAAAGGCTAGCACACCGAAGGCGCCGAGAAAGAAGGGAGTAGCGCGGGTGACCCATTCGAGGCGGTCGTTGCCATCTGCGTCGGCCCAGCCACCACCACCATAGGCAGGGAGGTCATACCAGGCGTTGGGATTGGTAAGAAGGGAGGCGGAGTAGAAGAGATTCCCGCAAAAGGCGGCCATGAAAAGCAATGGGGAAAGGCCTGATGTGCTCTTCCGGCAGTAGTTCTTGTATAGTTGGGGCGGCCGCGAGCCAAGGTAGAGGAATGTCGACATCCAGGAGATGATGCGGCCGAGGATCTCGAGAGTCTTCTGTGAGGATTCGGAAGTTGTTTGCTGCTCTGTCGGGGCAGCGTTGGCCACAACGGCGCAGAGCATTGATGCAAACAGCAGAGTTCGTGGGGACCCCATTGGGAGGCTGGGGCCACTGCTGGATCGGGTGATTGAGCGCTTAGAGGAGCTCAACTTCTCATTGGAGTAAGATGGAGACTGCCCGTTGGAAGTTGGCGCGGCAGGTTCCTTCATATCTTTCACATCCTTGGGGTTCGACGGCAAGGGAGACCCGGTAGAACGAGGGGCATGATCGGAAGAGCCGTTGTCGGAGAACGAGACGCCCTCCAAGACACTACCTGGGGGCTGACCATATTCCGAATGAGAGAGGGCACCGTAGCCATCATACTGTCCTTTGTAGTGTGTGTACCAGAAGTATTGGAAGACCAGAGTCACGTCAACGCAGACATAGTAAGCAGCCACAATGACCTGCCAGCCAGCCTGCCGGGTGAGCAGGGCACCCAGAAGATTACTAGTATCACCCAGACACCATTCCACGAGAAAGAACAGCGACAAGCCAGCCGTCGACTGAATCTGATAATTCTTGTATATTTGTGGGAGCTGAGCGAAGAGCCAGGACACGATGCTGAGGGTTCCGAGAACGGAGGAGACGAAGGCTAACGGTGTGGGGAGGCAGATGTGGAGGTAGGAGGACACGGCCGCGAGGAAGGGAGTTGTCGGTTCACAGTGTTGCGGGAGCACTGCATGAATCTGTTGTAAGAGAGGAGGAGGCATGGCTATTGCTTGTGTCGGGAGTCTAATATCTGTGTGTGACCTGGAGAGACAGCAGAGGTATCTTGGTTGTTGGAAGTATAGGACGTGTCTCTGTAGCGGTATGAAGAAGGAACGCTAGATAAGGGCGATAAGACGAACAAAGCGAAGAAGCCCGACAATATAGTTGGTGATGGGCAATCCCGTCAGCAGCGAGAAGAAAGACGGGGGAAGAATATGAGAGAAGATGAAGAAGGAAGAAGAGAGAGAAAGAGAGAGAGAGAGAGAGAGGAAGGAGAGGGAGGTGAAGGCATGCGCGACAAGGGAAGGGAGTCAGTCAGTCAGTCAGTCAGTCACACTTGGCGGCCTCGAGATCGAGTCACGAGTTGATTTCTGGGGCTGAGGATGGAGGATGATCCCTATCGCCGCCTGCTGATTGGCTTTCCCCCAGAGGCAAAGGGGACTCGGAATGGAGCGGACTCCGTTCGGCAATAATTGGTGAATTTACACTAATTTGGAACTATCTTGACTAACTCCAATCAATAATCCTCATCTTCATTCCGGATCTGCTGGTCTATCCGCATTGGCACCATTGCAGATAATGAGTAATGAGACTCTCTCTCTCTCTCTCTCTCTCAGCTCGCTCTTCTCCCCCTCTTTCCGGTAATCATACCCCTTTTCAAACCCCGGAATTATCCTCTGGTCTGCCTACTTCTGCGCTTCGGTCGGCTGTTCACATTCCCACTGCATTCATCGCTCAAACTCTCCGAGATTAAGTCAGACTGAGCGTGGGGTGATACGGACAATACTGAATGATTGCCGAACGGAAGAGACCATGATAGACTTTTTTTACTCCGAATCACAATTTTGCCTTCATCCCATGGATGCGAAGACGCCTTTCCAAGGCAGAGCCCGAAACTTCCCAGACCCGCCCAAGACAATCCCCGGTCAAGATCACGGCTGCCCCGGAGTCCTGACCCACACTGTTTATTGAAGGTTAAATCCAGGCAAAAGCACAGACAGCACCGTCGATTGCAACCCTAAGCTCCTGCTACAATAGGCTGCTCGTTCGAATTTTAAGCAATACGTACTTCACTGCACCCTCTGTTGAGACATACATGGCTCGGGTTGACGTATGGCCTATCTCGGCCTGCATCTTGTCTCGGAGATATCAGGGATGTTTTCGGCAAGGACCGCAAAGGGACACTGACGTAGCAGAGAGCGAGTGAGCTCTAATCTAGCTGGACTGTCCCATTATGATTGCCAAGCAGACAAACAGAAGAAATAACGGTGAGAGATATGGATCTGGAGCATATCGGTCCTCCGTTCGTAGATCCGCTACCATCTCCCCTACCGGCTGATTAGACGCTTATCTCCACGATAACCCCCAGCCTACGCTATCTATTAACATACTCGTGATCATCCGATTTCCATCTATCTTCACTCAGCTTGAGAATAATCTCCAAGTGCACACCATCACTCTATAAATTTCAAGGGCAAACATGCACGCGATCAACTACTCAAAATCTCCAAATAAAACCCGCCTCACCGCCTAATCACGATCTCACGATCGAGGCGCGTAACCAGGATGTGGATGGCACTAAAACATGCAGGTACAAGGGTCTCCTTCGTCTTGGTGATAAGACCCTGAACTGTCGCCATAGATTAACATCCGTCATGATGTCAATCATGAAGTCTGTAAATAATTATCAAATAAGCAGACTCAACTGTACTACACTCCTTCTTTACCATTCCAGTTCACACCCCTCTAACTATCCCCAACCCCAACCAACAGAGATACCTACCACCGCAAGACGTCAGAACTATAACACGCCTTTATATACCCTCATCATCACAACCTACCATTAACCTAATAACAGCCAAAACAACCTGTAGATCGCACAATCCCGCCATCAAGTCACAACATCACAAGTAGTCAAAGTACCCCACACCCATCACATCACATCCACCAGCACCTATCCACCCCCTCCACAATCCACATAGACCATCTAGAACCCATCCATCCACCCCTCTCATTCACCCTCAATCGCGTCCAACGCGTCACGAACCACCTTCCCCATTGGCCAGCACCCAGAAAGTGGATTTTGGCGATTCTTTCGACATCCAAGATGATTCGAAGATATGATTGGTTTCTTGGGTGGTTGAAGAGTTCTGGATTGTTTCTGGTGGGTGAGAGCTAGCTGGAATGGGGGAGTGTAGAGATTAGATGATCTGATAGTATTGATTCATCTCTTGGATGGGATCAGTTGGGTGAAGGTTCTGTTGGTTGTGTATGGTAGGATATTTATGGATGATGTTACTTTGTCTTGGGGGATACTATGAGTACTAAGTATATCAATTGAATAGCTGACGGTCTATATAGCTAGTAACTTACAGTAAGTAGAAGCATAAAACAGATACAAAGAGGGTATCAACATCCAACACCCAACATCAACATCTCTCACTGCACAAGAACATACTCAATCATAACCCATAAATCATAACTCGTAACTCATACCTCATAATACCTCCCTACCACTCCTCCTCCTCCTCCTCCTCCTCATACCGACTACGACTCCGACTCCGATGTCCATGACCGTGACCATGATGATGGTGATGGTGATGGTGATGGTGATGATGATGACCATGTCCATGACTCGACGACCGCCGATAATGACTACTATGATACCTCGTATACTCCGTCTCGCGATCATCATCAACCTCCACTTCCTCCACCTCTTCATCACTACCACTCTTCTTCATCTTATTACTAACGAAGTTTCCCAGAATCGCACCCCCAACTGCACCCAAGAGTCCATGGTCTTTCTTATGTCCCAGATAATACCCCGTCGCGCCGCCCAGGACAGCCCCGCCCAGGCTGCGCTCGCCTTCTTCTTCTTCACCGACAGCAGCACCAGCGGTGGTAGGGTCATTATCGTAGGCGCGGGACTGCTGTTCGGTCTCTGGGGCTGGAGGAGCAGGAGGAGGAGGGGCTTGCATCTCTGCGGCGGATTGGGCACTATTTGTCCCCCGCTGTGGTCAGTAACACATAACCATGTACATACACAGAATGAAGTATAGATATATAATGCGGAAGAGGTATGGAAACAGACTAATACTCAGCATTACTCCCCCTCCGAACAGGCGGTTCGTAGCCCGGTGCCAGACGATCGGGATCATATTGCGGAACAGCAGCATTAGTCTCATTATTAACATTGTTGAGGTTGGTATTGCTGCTACTAGCAGCCTGCGGATTCCATTGTGTCGGATAAGACCGAGGAAACCGGGTCACGTCGTACTGAGAACTATAAGCGGGATCTTGATTCGGCAGTGCATGCTGGTTGTAGAACTGTTGCGGTTCGTAGTCGTATCCTGCGTGCTGGTAGACGCCATCCGGGGGAGAGTAGTACGGAGTCTCGCTGTTTGGGACAGGAGGGGGGTATGGTTGTTGTTGGTGCTGGGGGTAGGGGTCGGTCATTGTTGGAGGTATGGAATTTTCGATGGATGGAATAGGTTATTGTTGATCTGATCTGGTTTTGGAATTACTGTGTGGTGAGGGGTGTTGGTATGTATGTATGTATGCAGTTGCAGTTGAAATGACTGTCATATTCGGATAGTATATGGATGTCTTGTGAAGATGATCAGCTGGGGCTTGCTGCGGGTCTGGGTGGTGAGGGACTGGCGGCTGACGGGGGTGGGTGCAGGTGACCGTGCCGCACGACTCAGCCTCGCGAACACATACGAACTGATGACTCGGACTTGGCGACAGGGTGGCCTGTTTTTACGCGGTCGGGCCGGGCTTGTTTGCTCTGGCTGAAGTGGAGCGCTCCTACAGGGCTATTGTCTTCGTGATATTCTTGATATTGCGTGATCTATCACGTAGGTTCACCAACAAAGCGGTGTGTTTGAATGAGTGCAATAGTTGATTGATGAAAAACGAGCATGTAGATCTAACATCACTTCATGAAAAGTCGGGGAAAAGAGCACGAGGTAGTGGAGGCATGTAGTTAGGGGTATCCCAGCAACTGTAGAAGGTGGGCTTTAAGACGAAAAACATACAAGTAAGGAGAAAAGAGACGGCTCGCAAAACTAAAAAGACTGAAGCATACAAAGTAGAAAGTCAGAGCGAAATCAAGGTCAGATATGACCGATCACCACCTGTCGGGTTGAATGAGTCGCGCTATGCAAGTGACAGCGCAGGTATGATCAAGTCCCCGAATGAGAGACGGATTGAAAGAGGGACCATAACATAGGCCAACCAAGTTCATGCGTCCAGCACATTGTTAGCCCCTGGCGAACAGAATGACCAGTCCTCTTGGAATTTGCGCGAATAACCGGAGTTGCAGATGTGACCAGTCTAGTGTACACCAAGTACCCGAGTCTAAAGACCTGCTTATTTGCTCGCCGCACTCCGCGTCCTCCGGCCTACCCACTCAGCGAGCATCGCATCCAGCTGGCTGGTCATCTCCCTTAGCCTCTTACTCTCTTCCTTGAAGAGACAGCCAGTAATCGGGTGGTCAGGACCGGCAGGCGGAATGTTAGAGTTATCGTGCACAATGATAAATAGATCGCGGATGTCGTTCTCGTCATCCAAGTACGACCGCAAGCTAGCATCGCTCCAAGTCGGTGTTCCAGCAGACGCAGTGTCAAACGATGCAGGTACGGCGTCGATGCCTCTGTGATCGCTGTCACCAGCAATAGGAGATAAAGGCGGGGACACCGATGAGACCGAGTGTCTCCCAGGGGATGGCAGGCCTGCCACCAATCCTGGTGTAAGAGGTGAAACCGGCCCTTCCAGCGGAGAGCCACTGAGGGGTGAGTCTAGACGCTGGGGTTGGTAGTTCAACACCTGCTTCGGCGGGAATCTCTGTGGAGGAGACGCCACAGAACGTTGTTGAGAATAAGTGTTCTCAGACACATCCTCCTCCCAGGTTTTTTGGATGTCAGTGGACGGGTATTCCTGGTGATCGAGTGGAGTCAAAGCTGGCTTCTTTGAAGGGCTTGGCACACGGGCAGAAGACAACATAGCTTCCTGGCTGTCGTCGAAAGGCCCCAGGGGAGGAGACGACGGGATATCGTCATCCTCTTCCGATGTTACTTGTCGGATGGTTTGATCCTTCGAACTCATGACTCGTCTCGGCTCTTCTTTAGCATCGACGGGGCTTTGAAGACCAGCTTCCTGGATTATGTCTTGCCTAGTTGGAGACATAGCCGAAGGGGGTTGCTTCTGCAACTTGCTGGTCTGTCTCTGCACCACCAAGGGTTTAGGCGATCGAGCAGACTCGGGAGAGGACAAAGAATCCGACGATGTCTTCGGTTGTGGGGATGTCCGAGACAGCTCCGTTGAGGTCTTTTCCGCTTCATCCGTGTCCTCATCGTTAGACTTGGTCTTCTTATCTTTCCTTTTAAACAGACCGCTGAGCATTCCTGGCTTCTTGTCTTTGCGTTTCTTGTCATCCTTGTTCTTGTCAATAGCGCTGAGCGCCTTGTCGATCGCCTCCATGCTGCCACGACTCTGCTGACTGATTAGTTTCCACAAAGACAATGGTAGTGAAATATATGCTTACCTCTTTCGCCTCACCGGATGAGTTCTCATCCCGAAGCAGGTTGGGTGTCAGAGAGATCTTCTTAGTTTCAACAGTATCGTCCTTGAAGAAGGAGTCTGTATTCCGCACAGTGCCATTTCTGGACCTGCTGACAGCATTGTCCGCTGGAGACTGTTAGCTTCCATTCTGTTATCTCTGGAGAATGTCCTCAATGTCCTCACCTTCCGTTTCGAATATTTCCTGGCTGGACCGCTGTTTGTCGAGACCAGCGCTGTCAGGCTCATGCACTTCCTGAATGTCGTCTTCTTCGAATCCTCTATCCTTCGACTTGGGCCTGAGAGGCTTGACGACAATGTCTTCATTTTGACCATCCTGTAAGTGATCCGCATCCTCCCGGGCCATATCTTCGTCTTGGAAAGAAATATCGTCGTCCATTTCCTCTTCGGTCGAGTATTCAACATCAGATGCTTCGATGTATGTTGGGCTTGTGAAAGTAACGGTCTTTGCGTTTCTGCGGCGCATTGCTTTCTTCAGCGGATTCTTTGACTTTTCCGAATTGTCGCCAAGCATGGTTGCGGACAACTGATGACATTAGAAAGAACCATGGACTCAAACCATCAGCACTTACATCTACGTTTCGGTGTTTATTCAATCTCGCCAACCTCTCCGTGGGCGTCTCAATGTGTTCGGCTGGCAAGTAACCTACCGGACAATTAGCTGATGTTGTGTAACACCGAGGGGTAGCCTACCAATACTGCCATCCTTCACGATCCTAACAAGCCACCAGTAGCTGTTGCTATCGTCCAAGAGAACCATAGTATCACCCTTCGCCGCATTTGCTTGTCCGTCAACGGTCGCAAAAAAGTTGTGAAGGGCATAAACAAATTCAAAATCGATGTCCTCTGGTCAGGGTCAGTCATGGTCCAGAGCTAGACGGCTGAAGGCAAAGGAGATGTTTGGATCCAGGCGGATTGTGTGTCACGCGATGTCTGCATATTTCCCGAAAGGACCAAAAGAGGCGGGACGCACCGTCATCAATCGATGGAGAGCTTGAGATCTTGTCCATGAGATCGTCGTCCATCATGTCGTCGCTCTCCCCATCCGCAAGATCGCCTTCCTCGGAACCCCCAGAATCACCCTTGTGATGATGGTGTCCCAGTTCGTCCACTTCCTCAATATCATCATCGTCATCGTATATATCAATCCCATCGCCGTATCCAGCTTCCGGATGGCCGTCTTCGGCGCCGGGACCGTGCATCATTTCGGATTTGATATCCTCGTCCGCATGGCGAAGGGTTTGCTCCTGGTGAGGAGCGACTCCAGATGAGTGAGTAGGTTGTCGCGTGTGATCTTTAGCTGAAGGAGCGTTGTGGTCTTGGAGGTCAAGGGTGTCTATCATAACATAATCCGGGTCAGCAAGGGCGGAGACGGTATACGGATCGGCAACCATGTGCTGGGAGTAGACGTACCAGCCCGTACAATCCGTGGCCTCGCCATGTTTGCTACGTTTCCAAGCAGTCACAACTATGATTTGAAGGGAGCGTCTCTCAGTTTTTCCGCACGAAGGCACGACTTATGGGATCACGGGGCATTGGAACCACGTGGTAACGCAACTGGCCGCTGCCCGACGTCCGGGTGGGAACGGTAAGGGAGTGTGAAGATATATTGGAAAATCGAAAAAGGAGCGAGTTCCACTGGAAATTCTAGCTGCGATGGATGTATCGACGCGAAAAGAAGAAAGGAAACGCCAGGAACAGCAACGGCGGGGGTGGGTACTTGGGCGTCCGACCAGGCGACGAGGGTTCAGGCAACAAGGCGAAAGAAAGACTTCCAGAGTGACGCAAAGACGAAAGCAAAAGCGAAGCAATAGAAAACGATAGCCAAAAACGCCGATGTTTTGGAGAAGTGAAGCTGGTGCTCAGAACCGAGTCAAGAAACCAAAGGCCGGACGAGTTCCCCGGACTTTCTGGATTGTTTGAGACAGTCCCGAAAAAAGGAGGTCTCCAAACTGGTTGCTCCAAACAAGCGCCCCTTGCGCGCGCTTATCCACTTCCTACCAAAGAACGGCGCTCAGGGCCCGTGCCTGGCCCTGCAGCTGACTGGCCACGCGCCAACGTCCTCTTAGGTAAGTGCGGCTAACCCGAAGGGGTTAACACGATGGGGTAGCTGAGGTAAGATGATGCTTGAGTAGGGCTCAGGGCATAGGGCCAGGGCGGTAACATCAGGTGATGGGGGCGAGATGGGCGAATTGGCAGGTGATTAAGTGGTTCTGGAGTCACGGCGGCCTCTGACTGGCGGTGGATGGTCGATCCCTCCGTCATGAACGACGCCGTGTACCACCTAAGCTGCACTGCTGATTGGCCCAGGCTGTCCCCCACTTACGTCTGCTGCTCCGACCCTTCAATGGAACCCTTCAATTCAGCTCCGTCATCACCCGATATTGCCCTTCGTTCACCATTTTCGTCCCTGGTGTCTGACAATTTTTCCTTCTTTCTTCCCTCCACAGCTGCCTAGAAGCACGCCGTTTGTTTTCCTTCTTCTGCCTAACTCCATTCCACTGCCTGCCCTATCATCCCTAGTATATTACTTTGTTCTATTTTAGTGTTATTTCTCCATCTGACTCACTGCACTTTTGAGTTTAGCTCCGCTGTGGGATCGGGACCCTCCGATAAGTAGTAGTATTACGGAGTCGATAAGATTACAAACGGTCTCTCCCGCCCACTCCTTCTACTACTCCTACTCCTCTTACTATTCACTTCCCCTCTTCCTTATCTTCATGTGCAAGCTTCGAGTCATCCGCAAACCCCACGACAGTTAGATCGTGGCCGTCTGATCCTTGACGCCCTTGGATATTACTTTGCTCTCTCTCCGAGGGCATGGCTCAGACTGGGAGGAACAACGGGTTGGTTGGGTTGAAGCTAGAGACATCCTTTCACCATTCGCCGAGACCCCGGTGGCGGGGTGATGATGGAGGCAGAAGAGCGTCGGATCAGGGAGACGGTATCGAGGGCGATCGTACAAACATCTTTCACGATTATCACGCACCCCGTTGCGGTACTGATGAAGACAACAGTGCTTTGAGTGGTCTGCACTCAGCGACACCCCCCATCTCCGTTCCCCGTCATGATGATTATCCCAAGCAAGATGTCACCTTTCCTCACAAGCCAGAGGATGTCCAAGCATCATCTCCGCTCGACAGCTTTCTTCAAGAACGCCGCCCTTCCATCAGCTTTGACGCCGCCCTTGACTCTGGCCGACGCCGACCGCTAGAGGATCCCTCTTCTCCAAGAGGAGATGTGAGGAGCCGCACTCAACGGTTCCAAGCAAAGAGTTCGAGCTTGAGGAATTCTTTGCCTCTGGAAGATGATGCTGACCACAACGGAAGACAGGTGGGACTCAGTTCTAGCCTCAGGAGGCAGCAGGAACGACGAGCCATCCCTACCGGGATTGCTCGCGACAGCTTCCCCGAAGAAAACGGTGCTATCCCATCTGATTATGAGCATCCTACTTCTCTCACGTCTCTATCTACTGCGTCTCCTATCACGGAGGAGCTGCGAACCCCTCCAGAAGGGTCCCGGGGCATGTTATCGTCTCCCATCTGCGTGGCCTCGCCTATGCAGACGTTCGCCTCGCTTGATGATCGCAGCTCCTGGTCAGGCAGTGTCATGACTCCTTTCGGAAGTAAGGCACGAGGCCTTCGCGTTTCAACCCGCCAGCGGTCTCGCAGATCTACTGCCTCGAGCGGCAAATCTCCAGCCAGCATGTTTCTGTCCATGTGGAGCGCGGGTGGTGACGAGCCGGCCCCTCAGCCAGATGATGAGGGGCAAATGGTCGGTACTGAGTATGTCCTTGGCAAGCAGATAGGATTTGGTGGCTTTAGCACAGTGAAAGAGGCCTACAAGGTCGAGGAAAGTGGCAAGACAAAACGGCTTGCTGTCAAGATTGTCAAGAAACAAGTTTCTGGACGGAGTGAGAAGGAAAATGACGAGGTTCAAGCGGAGTTCGACCACGAAGTGCGAGTTTGGCGGTATTTAAGCCATCCGAACGTACTGACATTGGACGCGGTTTACGAGACTGACTACGCTACTTTCTGCTTCACAAAATTGGCTATCGGCGGCACCCTCTTCGATCTCGTGCGGCAGAATCGCCGCGGGTTGGACATGACACTAGCCAAAAAGTATGCGTATCAGCTCGCGTGTGCCTTGAGATACCTCCACGAGGATGCTCGAGTTGTTCACAGGGACATAAAGCTGGAGAACTGCTTGTTGGATCCTACTGAGTCCCCTGATGGGACGAAGACATCTACGCTCGTTCTTTGCGATTTCGGGATGGCAGAGTGGATGAACTCGGACAATGAGGACGCATCACCTGATCCTTACGATAACGCCGCAGACCGTCCCCCACCTAAGACCATCGGCCCTGCTGGTTCCAGTACCAGCGTTGCGGGAAGCTTAGAGTACGCTTCCCCAGAACTCCTTTCATCGACGAATGGAGTTATCGATCCTTCGGTGGACATGTGGGCATTTGGCGTCATCGTGTTCACGATTGTCGTCGGATCACGGCCATTCCAGGATGCTTTTACTCCACGGATTCAATCCAATATCCTCAGTGGGAACTGGAATAAACATGCCGTGGTGGGTGAAGAAGCGGATCCCCAGCTTCGCCAGGACAGAGAAGATGCACTGGAATTGATAATGGGCTGCTTAAATATGAACGTTGATAAACGGTGGTCGATCCGCGACGTGCTGTGCTCCCGCTGGTTGCGGGAATTCATGGAAATGGCAGAGAGCCCTACGGAGTCGGCATGGAAGCTGTAAAGGGCTTCATTCGTTGCAGTGCCTCAACGCATTATATTCTTTCTTTCTTCCTAGTCTTTTCATTACACTCATGAAGGGACTGGGAATGTTGCTTTACGAACGACCGATGATCATGACTGGCGCTTTTATGATATCGACGAGCGCTGGTGTTTCCGGAATGTTGATCATCTATGATACCCTCTTTTCAATGTTGGCAGCGTTCTGATATATTTGAGTTTGAAATTTTTGCTTTAGCGCATTTCGGTATACCTCTCTACTTTGTGTTTTTTCTTTAGGCATTTCAAATCGCGGTCGGGGACATTCTTTGGGCAAGAAGAGGATCTGGTTTTGGTTTGGTATCGCATCTTCTTTGGCTTCACCTTGAAACAAATCGCTTCCTCTCCTGGTGACAAGGCATGGCGTTGTTTCTTTTTCAGCGGTGAGGGTTTGCGAACAAAACGTGTCATTTCTTCTTTTCCTTATATCATCTGTATTACCTACCTATATCCGGACGGTCTTCTTGCTTGCTGAGAGGTTCTCTGGCTTTTTGGTGTGTCCAGTCTCTTCTCTTTTCTCAGGGCATTTGCTTTCTTGACATATGAGCGGCATTCTGCTAGTATGAATGAAATGAACAAATGGTGGTGGGAGAGGGACTTGTATCTAGCTGAGATTTCAATCCACTCGTAGCTAAACCTTTTACCATGATTCGGATGTAAGAGATCCAACATTTGTAGTGTCTAGTAAAGAGATTGAAGAGTAAGTCAAGCCTAAATGTAATGAAACATATCCACAAGCATAACATAACATACAAGCATATTTATACAAGAGATGATAAACCAAAGAAACACTCAACAAAACGAAACCACAACATCATCTATACCTACACCCACAGATCACACACCCCCGTAAGGAAATCACCAAAGCCTATTCTCCGGCAAGACCTTCTCCTTCCTAACACCAGCAGCCGACTTCCTCTCCACCGGCGACCTAAAGAACAAACTAGGACCCTCCATCGGCTTCAACAAATGACTCAAGTACCCCCTATGCGCCGGATCCCTATAATACTCAATATCCCTTCTCTTAGTCGGATCCGGCAACCTATACGAGTACCCCATCTCCTTCATAACCTTCGACTCAGTCAGAGGCTCCCCATCCTCCGCGGCGACCGCCAACGCCTCACTCCCACTCTCCTTCGTCCAAGCCAAGGACACAAACGGATGCATCTCGCGCTTCATGATCCTCGCAATAGCAGACTTGGTATAGAATCTCGTCGTGACGGATCCACCCGCCGCCTCGACAGCCGCGATCGCAGGCGCAGACGCCCTCGACACAACGATATGAATCGGCTGCTTGAGCACACTGTCGACGGGAACCTCGTGGTCATCCTTCTCCACGCCCCGGCCGAGAAGCTTCACGCCCTCTTTGGTCTGGTGAATGCAGCGGGATTGGGCGAGTTCGCGGACCGTGATGGGTCGGGTTGGGTCGATCCGGCCTTGGTCGATCCAGGATTGGATTCGGTCGAGGTTCACGGGGGCGAGGTCGATCGAATGACTATTAAGCCATTCCATTATCATTAGCATTCATTCATTCATTCATTCATTCATTTATTGTCTTCACCTCCATCAAACTCGACAATGGGGGGATGAAGAGTAAACGTACACATTATTAAACCCCCTCTCACCATGGACCACAATCTCAGGCGTCTGACCACCATTAAACGCAGCGGGGACTTTACCATGCTGCTTCTGACCCTTGTGACCTCTTCCGGACGTTTTACCCTTTCCGGAGGCAGGTCCTCGACCTCTTCTGATGCGCTTGTTGTAGGCGCCCTGCGTATCGGAGAGCGAGGCGAGGATGTGCGCGTTCCGGCTTTGTTGGGGGATGGTAATAGCTGCTTGGGGGAGGAGGAAGGCGGAGAGGAGGTTCGTTGTTGTAGTGGCCATTGGCCGCTGCCATTGGAAGGGCAGCAATTGGAGCCGGGGTGGCATGGTGCGGTGCTGTTGCTTGTGATGGGGTGGTGTTGATGGTTTGAGGTTTCTTCCGCGGACAAAGATCTTTCGTTTTCGGGGAGTGAGAGAGGGTTGGGTTGGTGCCTGAGGTGTGGATGGGATGGGTCGGTCGGGTCGGAGCGGAGGATTGGTCGGGCCGGGGACTTTAGTGTCTACTTACTACTTACTACTAAAGTACGCAACGATTATTACTATGGGTATTGTTTTGTTTGTAGGGGAAAATGAGATGTGATAAATGAGTGACTTCTGGTGTAGAGTTCTTCTGTGTATGTGTGAGTTATGGAGATATGTCTTCTTTGGAGACTGATGGTCAGTATTTCTTTGGTTATTTTACTCAAGATCTGTCGAGTTACATCTCACCGCTCAATTTGTCCGTAAGAACTTATTACCTGGAAGCGGTGAAAGCAAGTCACCATTGAAGTCAACAATCTACTAGATGTCTACTACTGAGCAAAGGTATGTGTTGTGTAAGTTTTATATATTGAATATATTGAGCAGGCTTAGCCCGCTAGATCGATCTGTGATCGATCTGTAATGCAATGCAAGTAGACGTCAGTGTTAACGTACAGATACCACGCCATACCCATGCTTCGATAAATCAATCAGAATCCCTCCCATGGCCAAGTATGCAAACATATCCTTCCCAGTACAAAGGCCATCTATAAATGCCAACGCCGTCATAATGCTAGGTCATAACACAGAGTGAAGAAAGTTTTGTACAGTATACACAAGGGGGCAAACATGAACGACAAGTGTGCGAGACAAGCAAATGAGAGAAAAGAATGCGAGCTTCTTCTCGTAAATCGTCGTAAAATCTAGTCGTAAAAAGTGTCTTTCGATAACGGCAAGTCATCTAATAGTTTGGGGTGGTGTGGAAGATCGGTTGCGGGAAGTGTCCATGCGGCCAAGCCTCAGGGTGCGAATATGGCAGCAAGCCCGTCTTCCGCTCAGACTTGCCAAGCGGCTGGTAGTGCATGTGCTCAAACGGGATGCGCTGCTGCAGCATAGACGTCGACGGAGGTGGGATCAACAACGTATTGACACTGCGAACCGGTCGGTAAGGCGAGTTTCGGTTTGCCAGGAAGAAGGTAGGAGAGAGGTGGTTTTGAGGAGTGTGAACGGAGTATGCAGAAACTGCGGGCGAGATTGTGCCCGATGTCATTGCAAACGGGCTGTTGTGGTGTCTGCTGGGGTCGGGCAGTGAGATGGATGTGTTGTACATTCCGTTGGCCACAGGTCCAACGGCAGTAGTAGGAACCGACGTCGCAGGTGGCATCTGCGGAACCCAGTTCGCAGAAGGGTTGTAGACCGGGGGCATGACTCGACCGGAGGGGTTAAGTTGAGACAACGCCGGCATGGTAGGGGGAAGGCTGTGAGATGGGAAGTTGGGACGGGGGAGTCGCGAGACCGGTTCGGACATAGCCGGAAGGTGAGGGGGAACGCCGGAGGAAGCCAAAACCGGAGGCAAGGCCGGGATGCTTGTGAGAGCTGATGATGGGGGAAGTGACGGCATTGAGGTGAGCATGTTGTTTGGCATGGCTGTTCTCTTCGCTGGTGGCTCCTCCAGTGGCTCCTCACGGGACCGCTTCCGAGAGCTGGTGGCCGGTGGCAAGTCGCTCGGGAGCTGAGGTGCGCCAGTGTATGGCACGGCATTCATGGGCATAGCCCAGGGCTGCGAACGGAGAGGATCGGATGCGGGAGGCGATGGCAACTTTGTCGAAGGTGACGGCAACTGTGCCCGAGGAGACGGCCCCAAAGTGGGAGACACATTGAGAACTGGCGGAGTAGGGTGTTTCTCGTTCTTTTCGGAGGCTCGAGGTGCCTTGTTGAAGTAGTCCGTGAAAAGCCCAAGTTTGACGTGCCACTCATTCCATTCCTCTTTGGACACGAACAGGTTATAGCGAATGTTGCTGAGGAACTCCACCTCCATGATGTGGATCTCTTGGACTGTGATCCCCGAGACCTCTGCCCATGTCTTGTTGGTGTATGTGTTATCGTCGAGGACTAGACTCTGTCAGCTCTCTGTCCATAACCATTTCACGAGGGAGTGACATACATTTGTTGCCCAGCATGAGGGCAATGGTCATCAGCCGATACTCACTGCCTTTCTTTCCCCGCACACCAGGGTTGAACTTCTTCAACCGGTAGACGAAGAGCAGTGCCAGTAAAATGACATTCTGGCTGACCTGCGTAGTTGACAAGATGTTTGTCACCCACTTTTGGAACGCAACAGCGGGAACTGCTTCTGGTGCAAGCGATGTGGTCGGGCTGAGGCGGTCCTCCACGGCCTTCAGTTTCGCGGTACTTTCGAACCAGAAAAGGCACGTCATCTACTGCCCAGTCAGCATCTTAGATCCAAGATGGATAGAAGAACCCAGCTTACCTGTGCTGCAAATTCAGCCAGGCTGCCTTTGCTATTGCTGATAGACGAAGGAATCTGAAGATACGACGCAACACCATTGGAGCTGGTTTTCTTCTGAGACTCTCGTTCGGAGGTCATAGTATCCTTGACTGGCGCTTGGTATTTCGTCTGGGACGAAGAGACCGGCCCGTTCAATACATCAGAAGACATGCGCGTATAATCAGACACCTTGGAATAGGGTGGAAGCTGATATCCATCGAGCTTGCCGCCATAGGAAGACGCCGGCAGAGCGCTGCAAGCGGTGACGCTATTCATATCGTTCGGAGGGGTAGGTAGACCGTCCCTGAAGGGAGCAGTCCAGGTGTAATCGGGAACTTCTGAAATAGCCTCAAGAGGTCGTTTCCTTGCGCTGAGCGAGCCTTCAGTCCGCGAGGAAGGAGCTATAGTAGGAGTGATCGGGTGGAGGGCGGGGAGATACGGCTTCGTTGAGAGGATCGGGAGAGACATATGGGTGGTATTTAAGGATGGCGTCAGGATTGAAGCAGTTGGATCGAGGATGGAGATGTAAAGGTAACACCCTTGTCAGAGAGCTCGCATTGGACTAGCTCTTGACCAAGTTGGTGTTATTCTTGAGTCGGGTGTTATTAAACACCGGGAACTTCCCAGATCTTCAATTTTCGGGCGTGGTATGCGGCGATTTGTTGGGACAAGTCGAGACGATGGAAGCAACACACACGAGGTCAAACGAGGAAATCGCCGACAAAAGAATTGGGGTTCCAAGGGAATATCAGCCTGGCTGCGGGGGAGGAGTTGGTAGGATAGCAACAGCAGCGGATCCGGTGAATGCTGCTTTCCCAGATGGAATGAAGGCACTTAAGGGGGTGGGGATAATGGAAGCAGGGACCAAGAAAATAGGATAAAAAAGGATGATCACATAGTAAGTATTTTAAAGGTCAACGAAGTGTAGGAAGGGTCGTAGTAGTTATAGAAAGTAAGTAGTAGTGACAGAAGAATGGAAGATGAGGTTCTGGGTATAGATTGCAATAACTTAGGTTGCAAGTACAACCAGTTATAAAAAGGTATTATATCTCAGGTAATTCAAAGGGCAATTGAGACGATCATAAAGGAAAGTCAAGAGAGTTAATTTAGAACCAAAAAGGAAATCAAAAAAAGAAAAAAAATTGAAGATGGAAATGAAATAAATAAAGACCTTAGATGGATAGAGAGGCCATAGAGGAGACGGAATCAATTGAATAAGGCCGAATAATGAAAATAAAAATAAAAATCAGGAAATTAATAAAAAATAAAATAAAATAAAAAAGTAAAAGAAAGGTACTAATAATGAAGGATGAAGTCAAGACATCATCCTCCATCCAGCAAATGGCTAATCATCTTCAGAGCAACTCCGCTAGAGGAGCCAGGGTAGGCTAGTTCTCGTCCGGAGAAAGTGCTGTGCCCATACAGGATAGACAGAGTTTGACCCGGACGCAGGTCCAGAGGGTTGATCCTCCTTTCTGGCCTCGTTTGGGTCGGTTCCGGTTTGGCTGCCCGGGTTTGATTGTCTCTGCTTTGTCTTGAAGAGAATGAAATACCGGTTGATGTCAGAGCCACCGGGGGGGAAAAACAAAGTGGATGCATGCTACGGAGTAGTGGAAGGGTAACAAGGTCAGCAGCCCTAGTCCAGATCCAGCGTTAGGTTCTAGTGTCTATAGGTCATTTTACTGGTCCAGGGAGGGGGAGAGGGGGGGGGGGTCTTTTTTTTTTCGCCTTTGGGAGAGTACTAGAGATGAGTACTAAGAGAGGGGGGGAGCAAAAAGGAAGAGGGGTGGAAGTTCGGACAGCACCTCGCGCGGTCTTGGAATAATACGTGCCTGCTAACTCCGTAGGACCCATATCAGATCCAATAATAAGTCGGGTTTAGCGTCGCATTGCAACCGTCGTGGTGTGCCGCCCAGATTGGTATTGCTTTTGGTTTATTTTCTTTTTTTTTTTTTCTTTCCTTGTCCTATTTTTGCTTTTTATTTCCACTTTCCTCACCCTGATTAGCTACTCACACCTGAGCATACTTAGTGTTTACTTATGCGTCTCCCGTTGCAGTTGGTCTTTCTATTCTAACTAAAACGGATCAAGATGCAGTAATCATCCTGAAAGCCACAAGAAGAGGTCCTTACAACTACCACTATTACTATAGCAAAAAGCACCGATCGTAAAAGAAATAAAATAAATAAATAGGCAGAAGTGAAAATGTATTATCTCATGGAACATCAAATAAACCAAACACAAAATAAGAAACCCACCCCCGAAGAAAAAAAAATAATGATGATGATGATGAAATGAAATAGGAAGGAAGAATTAAGAAACGGAAAAAGGTAAAGATATCTTACACCAAGGGAGAAGGGGTGGGCATTGCTCAGCAGCCCCCGGGAGGCACGGGAGAGAGAGTGGACGAAGGGAGGTTTGTGCACTCTGAATGTGGTTGATCGCCAGTTCTAGTTCAACCAGGCGGAAGGCAAAGGAATGAAAACTTTCGGTACGGAATCGAACACTGCCTTCTGGTTGCTGCGTAATAATCAAACAATTCATACGGCATCCTTCCCGAAAAGCGTTAGCGTGCCCCCTTCACCTCATTAAAGTGCGCAGCAACTTGAGCTGGGGACAGGCAGGAAAAGGGAGGGGAGGGCAGAGCAAAGAGGAGAGAGGGCAGGCGGGGAGCATGGAATTATGGATCGCTGCGTACGGCAGCCGTAAGAGGGTCACGGTGGCTAAAACAGTTCTAGTTAGTCCGTGGTTGGTACTGGAGGTTGGTGGTCACTACGGCGAGGCTTGCTTAGATTGGAGACTGGAGCATCCGCGAGCTGGTCAGTCACTTACTTAGTAAGGCGCCAGGCAAAATGCAGAAAAAGTCAAACGTTCAGTTGCCGGTGCTTACCTAGTGAGGTAGTGATGGCAAGGATAGTTACTCTGCAAAGTAAGTCTGGTACCGGGTTCAGCTGTGGGTGGCTCGGGTTGTCATGGGCAAAATGAAGTAAGTTATGTGCCAGACGTACGTAGTACGTACTTCCTTACAAAACAACACTCGCTCCAGTCTCACTCACTCACTTTACTTACCTCGCCCGTGTCAAGTATGGAACGGGTCCGAATAGATTGGGAGGTATGAGAACAGACTGAGTGGTTGGGCAGTCTGGTTGCAACTAAACTCGAAGTGGATTAACCCCTCCGACCCAGACAGGTATGAGTTGCTCCGACGTATCGGTATTACCGATATAGTGTTTCTCCGTCGTGGGCACACACACACGCATCACACACGCCCGTCATCACCACTAACTACCCGGTCCATTTTGGACAATTTTTAGGACAATTTTTAGAAAAACTTTAGCATAGGACGATATGTTAGTCTGGCCGTTTATCCACTCGCTGTGTAATGAGGGGGCCAAGGCAAAATGTTGCGTATCCATCATGTAGGCATGTAAGGCATGTGTGAGTACGAGAATTGGATGGATAAGCTGCACACAACGATCCAGAGAGGCGTAATGAACTGAGAGACCAATCATCGGAGGAGAAGCAAATGGCCGGGCTCCATCGATCTGTAAACACACAGCCAATCGCTGTGGGCCTGAGCCTTTTCCACTCTGAATGGTTTGAGCCTGGAGAACTGGAGAACAAGGTGCTCAAGAAGCCACCCACCCACACACAACCCCCGTACCTTAGGCAGAGAGCCGGAGGGCAGCTGAGACTGAGAAGGGAGCCACTCGCTAGGTACCACTAAGTTGGGCTCGGCACCACCAGAAGCAAGACGACGCGCCCCCCTTGTGACTTGACTTGTTGACTGCCGGGCCTGTTCTCTTTTCCCAAAGATCCTTCCAGTTAGTACTAGCGGGCATATGCGATAGTTGTAATGGAATAATGAATAGGTAATGGTGGATGACCGCGGGGCCAACCCGAAGTCTCCTGCGACTCACCCGCTGCGGACAGTGCCACATAGTAACATACCATACCCTATCCACCGCCCCCCCGGGCGATGGATGAGGTGAGTAGTCCGTCGTCGTAGTGGTGGTGGTAGTATTCTAGTGAGAGTCATGACCACTTTTACCAGAAGGTTGTAGTAAATATCCACATGCAGACACCACCCGTCCAATCCGCGAGAGGGCACCACCAACTCTCGCCTGCGCCTTTTCCAGGTTCCTCTACCCCCTTCTCTGCCGTCATACTCCGCCCGGCCGTAATGTTCCGTGTATGGACCGAACCATGAAATTGGGCGCACCGTTTCTGTGTCCTTCTACGAGCCCAGAAAAGTACTCCCTTTTACCGTAGCAACTTTACTTAGTCTCCAGCAATGAAATCCGATCTGGCCCATTCGTTGTTTCCGCCACCGGTTTGCAGCCACTGCGATGACTCGGTTTCGAGATGATAGGGCGCCGCTTGCTGGTCATTCCCGGCAGGCCAAAAAATAAAAATAAAATAAAATAAAACCAAAATACCAAAGTGTAAAAAAAAAAAAAAAAAAA